GTTTGGACACTTAGGTGCACTAACCAGTTCTTTTATTTTTTTTGCATGTCTGAGTAACTTAAAATCAACGAGCAACATATGAATGTGAGGTTTTTGAACAAAAGCACTGCCCCTACATGCACTCAAGCCATCGTTCTCTTGGGTGTTTAGTCACTCACTTGACAAATAAACTACTCTGATTCGTAGTACAGCTATTTACCAGTGATACTCATGACTAGCTGAACATTCACCTCGTGTAAGGTCCCAGCCGACTCGGTTTCTAGGTGACTTTTGGAAATAGTCCTACTGTAATATGCATATTATAATCAAACGATCAAACTGTAAGAGTCCGATCATGTCATCGACCCTGAGAACTTTATTTGATTCATGGACTCTGTCAGGTTCACACATATTTCCTTTGAACATTAACTTGTTATGAAAGTCGCGTTGCACGGTGAACCCATTAGTTATATAGTGAAGATGCGCTACCGTGCGCCTTCGACGGTGATGTGCCTAGTAAACTAACAAGGCTTACGGAATCAGATGTTTTAGATGTTTATTTACTGATTCAGTCCTCGTTGTATCTGGTTAATTTAAATGCCTCCTCAAAATGCTTAAGAAATGCAGCAACAGAGTTGCTCCATGCACTCTTTTGAACGTACATCCAGCCTCACTTCGAAGTCTGCGATGTCGTTTCGTCCCCCCTTTTCAAAAGCGATACATCCTCTAGACCAAGTGAAAAGACTGTTTCAAATATGTTCTTACGAGGAGAGACCCTATAAACTCAGATTATTAAGAGGCGATTTGATAATGGCAAACAACGTACGTCAAGCCAGGAGCATATTACCAAGACATCATCTCCACGCTCTCCTAGGCAACCAATGAAGGTATATACATTAAAGAGTAAAGTCTTAGCTACGCTCTCTCTTTTTTCACCGCCACTCGCATCACTTGAAATGCTCTTCTAGCCGAAATGACTACAGGCTTCTCAGTGTATAGCCTTAAGAAGAGACTTGACAAACACGTATTCACCCATGGATTACCATACCCTTCCTGATTCTCTTACTATCATATCTGTTCCTTCTCTTATCCTTTCAATTATATCTTCTTACACATTACCAAGTTTCTGATTTATTTCTTTGAAATATTGTTTGCTCTCAGCGCTCAAAGTACCATCTTATTATTTTCACAATGAAAGCAACCAACCTCCAGTCTAGTAATGTAACAGGTACTGATATTCAGAAACACTACTACCCCGAAACAAACACACTCACTCAAAATACAAGATATACAAATTCACAAAGGCTGCAAAACTGACTAGAATTGGTACAATTGAGTAGCGAGACTACCACTCAATGAACATCCCCAAATATCTGGAACCACACCAAAACAACAAGAGGAGAGGGAAAAAAGTTGGTCGGTTGATCCAATTCCATGACAAAGATATTGGATATACTTGTCAATTCAGCTCATTGGGTTCCGTGGGATAGTGTGATTAATTACTTGTTATTCTATATTTTATCAAAAAAGAGTGTTCACGGAAGAAAAGAGAAGCGCTCTCCATTTATGGAGCCAAAACGTTGGTGGTAACTCGAACTTATTTCATACAGAGATTTGTTTTAGCTAATTGAAAATATTACAATAACAGTAACGAGTAGTGCACACCTTTGAGCTGCTGGGCTGCATTCAGGGCCTTAGGATACCAACTGAATATATAAATATTGATTCAGTCGTGATAAACTATTCTGAGAAATCTAATTATTCAGATTTTCCCCCTCTATTTCGCCACAATCGAGTTGAGTTGACTACTGTCGGACAAATGTTACATCAAATAATCATCGTGGATTTACTGACACTGAGAAAAATCCTCTCTATGCAATAAGTTAACCTTGATGGTTTTCAGCTACATGCGGTTTGATATCACTTTAGAAAGTTCAGGGTGGAAGTTAAAAGGAACCATTTATTCCATCACAATAATGTCCACTACAGCTGTAGCGGACACCTTATTTTCATATTTTATTTGGAGCTATGGATAACTCAGTAATAAATGATTTCACTCCTGACACCACGGATTAGGTTTGTTGAACCAAAGGTTACTAAACAACCGGTATATAAAGGCATTTTTAAGGTTGTGGTCGGATAGATAGATAGTGTAGGATACTACTTAACACCATTTAATTAGTCTTTATGTAAAGTCTGGAAAGTAATATAGTATTCGGTCTCTGCTACGGAAAATTTCGAATTTCGCTTTCACAGTCTGACTTTTAAGACTTTATTGCCGTGCGCAAGACTCTTCTAAGGTTGAATTACTTGAGTATTTTTTTATCTAACCGATTTTTGTGGGAGAGTTTTCATTCCATCAGTTATGGGGAAATTTCTAACTTTTCAGATGTTATATACTGTTGTTTTTGCCTTTTGGAGTTGATAATCTTAAGAAAACCCGAAACTATGTAGTTTAAATGGTTCAAAATTTGTCAAACTGCGACGCAATTAGGCACTTCATCAAGAGTTGTAAAGGCTAGAGCCATGTATTTAATAAACATTTTTAGATTGTGACTGTAGTACTAGGGCCCTTTTCAATTGATAGTTAATCTCTATTCATGATTTGTAATCAACTCTAAATACTGATGGTTAGACATATAGGCAAATATATATTAGAAAACAGACTTATGTAGTTTAGTTTTGTCTAAAGTACAACAGAGGTTTCAAACTGCTTTTTTCGAAATATTATACTGTATCGCGTTATGTACCTTCTAGAAGAGATTAAATGGGGAGCAATACAGTGATCGTCAAGTTGCCAGACATCACATGGAGTTTCTATTGAACTTGAGATTTGATGAATCGGTGTATGACGAAGTATTGCCAGTGTCGTTAATATCATCACAGGATAAATTGTGGAACTTTTATAAACCGTCAAATAGAGTATGCTCTTGTTTTTATGTGCAACGTTGACTATTTTTAGGTTCACTATATAAGGAAAACTGGACCCGGAATAAAATGTGGTTCTAGAATTTTCTTTCCAAACAAGTCGGATAAAGTGAACTCAAAACTCGTTGTGAATTATAATCAGGTATTTATTTTGAATGCTTTCCATTCGCTTAATCAAAATATTTTCCTGCTCAATATTTTGTGGCGACTTAAAATGTTGAATGGGGAAAACATTTCTAAAGGTTCATAGATTTAATGTCTAATAACTGGATATTTGAAGTTATTAATAAAGTTTGTAGAAATTTACCAGATATTTTGACACTGTTTGTTTAAAAAAAAGAATACTCCCTAAAAGTGCCGAGCCGGGTGTCCTGATCACATTTTTACACAGTCTAGGTGAAGCCCATAAATCTCGTGCTCCTCTGTCTTTGATCCCCTTTAAGTTTGTTGTTCCTGTCAACGCTCAACGTTCTCCTATCTGTTTGTCTTTCGACAGACAAACTTAGAGAACTCCAGTAGTCGCGTCGTCTGAATTTGTCGTTTTAAAGTTTCTTCACACTTAAAATGTTTGAGGGTCGTACTGTAACCTTCATTTGAGTTGGAATAACCTTATTTATCTGTTTTACAACTTTAGGTTGACGCCGGATATGGTTTTCATCAAAAAAGAAACGTAATACGAATGGCATTGTGAGTTTATGACTCTTTTCTTTGCCTCTGAATTAAGTCAAAACGGCTGGCTGTTATAATTGAAGGAGGTTGTCAAAATGTTTGAGTTAATTGTTTTATTTTAATTGATGATATGAAAACCCAACTACGCCGTAGTTTGTATTCAATCTATTGATTTAGAATAATTCTTTAATGGTTACATTTTCTGTCAATTTCTTATAACTGCCAATTTTACCAAGCACTGATTAGTAAAAACATTTTTGGTTCAAACTAAATCAGTTGATGTCAAATTATTCTCAGTAAAACAAATGAAATTGAGCTACATTTGCTTTATAGAAGCAACCTATAATTTAGCCATTCTAATGTTGCAACTAATTCTTCCTTAAAAATCTACAAACATAGAGTAATGCCAAAAAGGCAACAAAACCGTTTTCATATCCTTAAAAGGGTTGAATTTTCAATATATAATTTATCGAGTGACAAATTGAAAGTTTTGGGTATTTGAAAATTAGGTTTATTATTGTTATTATTATTACTACTATCATGATTATACGGATACAGGATAAATTTTGCCAAACGTAGTTTCACTTCCGAAAGGTTGTTATATTTTACTGCCAATAAACATATTTGTGCATTGTAATAGAATGCACTCTAAAGCATAAACAAGCGTAAATGGGTTTTAGTCTAAATTTGCGATTTCAATTTATTAGGGTGTTTATATCATCAAATTATTCGTTAATATCTTCACGCGTGCATCAAACGTAATCAAAAATAATAATGATAAATCTGCAATTCAATGGATTTTTGATTAGCTTAGTAGATTCTCTATAAAACATTGTTCTTCTTATATTTAATAAATCATGTTTAGGCCTGAGACATCCAATAAAAAGAAAATTCACAGTAAACCAAAATCATGTAGCCAGGAATTGGACAAATTTGGCGTGAAAGGTTGGTTCCTCGCTATTGATTTTTCCACTTTACTATTAGTACAGTAGATGAAGCGAAAGGTAGATAACTAAAAGACGATTGAATTTATAACTGTGAACAAAAATAGGGCGGCATATACTTGAAGTTAGCCATTTCGCCTTATGGAGTTGAGAGCAAAGATGGATAGTGGCTAGCAGTGGAATCCAGGACGCGCGTTTCGTCCTGTTTGGGACTCGTCAGCTGGATGTACCTGCATCTCAGAGTGGATAACGCGATGGCGTTTGAAGCGAACGGTACTGAGTTCGAGTCCCAGAGTGAACATCAACTCTGAGATGCAGGTACATCCAGCTGACGAGTCCCAAACAGGACGAAACGCGCGTCCTGGATTCCACTGCTAGCCACTATCCATCTTTGCTTACAATGCTTGTAAATTAAGGCAATATCGAGGCATACGCACAGTATGCACATATGCCAATAAGAGACTGATCAATTTCAGTCCAAAAACATCAATGGGAAGATTCAAATAAAACAATATCAAGTGAATTATGGAGTTGAGATTCAAATCATACTTTTCAACGTTATTAATAATGTTTCAAATGTGTGTGTCTAATATTACAGAGAAACTTGACTAATTAGCCATATTACAGATGAAAGCAACTTAGTACACCTAAGGGGACTTTTGATTGAGGGAGATGTGTCGATATTGGCGCTTTTCGAACGATGTGTTATGAAAACTAGTGATAACTACTAAGTAGTACATTTATAAGAAGATTGAGAAACGTTCAAATATCAAATGACAAGATGAATTTCAGTCAGTGTTATTTGTGCATTACTAGCGTATTCGCCTTATTCCCTAACGACCATCGTGGTCAGGTGAATTATTCCAGTCATGATCCGTACATTTTAGTCTTCTGCTGAGATTTAGGCAAACGATTCGGGAGGATTTTTTGTGCCTCAGTTTAAAGGGATTTGTCCTTTAATGGTCTTAGTATGAGACAAATCGTTGAAGAAAGCACACAACAATTTTCATTGTTCGTTTAAGGTAAAAGCTTTCAGCCTTCTAGTCATTAACTAACAATGCCGAATGTATGTATTTTTAGCTCCCCACAGCTCAGAATTGACACAGAAACTAGAGAAACTAATAAGAAGAAAAGTAGAATGAAGAGGTAGTCGAAAATAGAGAGGAGCAGATACTATTGCAGAAATAATAACGTTGAATAACAATGGCCTAAAAATCCAAAAGACGATGGAGAATAAATACATCTGTTGTAGATTACCATTTTAGGTATTCATCTTTGATTGAAATCACTGAGCAAGTAAAAACCTGGAAGTTTGCAGCTTATCTTGGAAAGTCAATGACTTCACCAACCTATGCCATATCATGTTCTCGCCACACCTTGTACTTTTTCAACTTTCTCTTATACGAGGCGATCACTTGGTATCCTCATTGCACTCCATAGCACAGTTAGTCTATGAAAGTTTAATGAATCACTTATCTTTTTGGTGATTCCGCCTATAAACCCAAATTTAACCTTACTATCATTAACATGGTAATTTCACCGTATGCAATGTTTTTAAGCTTTTTAAGCACCTATTTCGACTTAAGAAGCGTACACTCGTTTTGATGGAAAGATAGATACCGGCATTTTGCTAGCATCTTCAGAAAAACTACTCACGATTTCAAGACATTTAATAGTTAGGTTTGATTATTTTAACAATTGTGTGCTGGGAAAAATTCATCTTTTAAAATATTTTGTAGCCACCATGAATTGCACAAAGGTAATATCAAAAATAAATTCACAAACAAAACTGTCAGAGTTTCATTTTGATTTCTTGAATATCCCCACACTGATAAACTGTGAAAGTCAATCTGATAGCTATTTCGCGGATAATTTTGATAAAACATCAAAAAACTATAAATCAGAGGTAAGTGCATCTTCAGGTAAGTAAACTTGAAAGTCTGAAATAATTTGGGGCTTGAGACAAACTAAGTATATAAGTGAATGCTCAACTAATTCGAATCAAATAGTTGGTAGTTTACTTTGATATCGAACCATTATTCATTACTGTATGAGTACTGTGAATGATTGATCATCTATAGCTCTATAGATAGAACATCATACAATGATTTACTTGATTTTAAGCAAATTCGATAAGTAATTGTGATACGAAATATTTTTATAATGTGTTATGTATCTGGATAAAGTGTTCCTAAAGTTTCTGTGTTTTGACTGGATGTTTGAGGTCAGTTGGCTGCTCAAAGATTCTAAGCTTTGATGGACGTATTGTGCATTTTTAACAAAAATAAACGATCCTTAGCAGCTTTAAAATTTTTTATTTAGTTAGCTCATATATGTGGTTTGTACTTTACATTTTACACTTAGAGGTTAAAGGAATCTATTGTAGTGGTATAAGATAACCTGAAAGTTCTTAATTCGACTTCCTAGAGGGTTGTGGATACATAGTGGCCAGAAGTAATATACTAAGACGAAACAGCTGCCCAATGCCCCTAAGTTCCCAATGTTTGTCTAACTTGGGTCGATTTTTGAATATTGATAGATACTTATCTCATTATCACATTAATTTTAGTGCTTGAACTTTGAAGATTCATTGAAGTTTAGGAAAGTTTTGAAGGAAGAGTTATACAGTAATCTTTTTGATCAAACAACTATGAAATCTGAATTAAAGAACGCTTGTAAGCCCGTGTTAATTTTACTCTGTATTTTATTTTATTGTTCTACAGTAAGTGAATTTCAATGTAGACGATGTTTATGTTCTGTGTTCTAAAGAACTGAAATAAATAAACTTATAGGTTCTGTTGTAAGTCACTCCGATATTTGCATTTAATTGTCTATACAAATCTATCATCTAACATTCTAACATGTATCACTACAACAGAATACTTATTCAATATAAAAACGTTAACTAAATATCAATTTGTCCAAGTTTCATTATCAGATTAGAAGTTAGATGTTTTCAAGTACATTAAATGTTCTTGATGAGTCAACTGTTGTTCATTCACACCGTGCTACAGATCGGGAAATTCTTTTTTGTGTGGACTTAATTACTTTAGATATTTCGATTTTTGTAATTTTGAAAAAAAGCTGAATACATCAGTGTGATTTTTAATTTTATTTGACTGCAACTTAAACCTGGAAACATGATATATTTATTTCGCCATAGCTAGAGGTTACGTAATAGTATGAACTTTGATCATTGTGTTGGGTGAAATCCAGGACCTTTTGGTCTTTCAAGTGGCTGAAGTATTCCAACGAAAGTTTCTAATTACTGTATAGGTTAATAAATACGGTTACTACCAACTAGCCTTATTGAATACAACCAATGAACCACAAGCAAGTGTTATTTTCTGACTACTCTATGCCTCAATGAGCTATAAAAATATCGGATGACAAGAATTGTTGTAACTGACAAGATAATTACATTAAACCACTCTAGGACAACACATCACCAGTCAATGAAATCAATAGTAAAATCAGAGCCATGTCCTCAGTTTTATGATCTCAGTTAATTTACCGTTGTCTTTTTATGAAAATATCAGTTAAATAATGTCTTCAGAAATAGCCTCTAGGCTGACGTTTGCTCAAACAAAGTGGCTAACTATGAACATTTCGTAGAATGCTTTGAGTTAGATTTAGGATATTTGATATGTTCTGTGAATAGTAAACTGATTTCAAAAAACTATCTACTCATTATCAGGGAAGTATTTGTGTATATTTGTTGCTCTATAAACTTTAGTAACCTCACTAGTACTAATGACATTGGTTAGATACTCTTTGATTTTATGTTTGTCATTTTCTCTTAGTTACATGGATTTCAAAAATATTTTTCGCGAGTGAATTATATGAAAAATGTACCAGTTAATTTTCAATTGTGCCCTTGAGAAGTTATTCGTGTTGTTGTGATTGGTTCTATTGTAATGTAGTTAATTTGGCCAAAGGTCAATTCATTAATACTTACTTTCTGCTCTTCGGAACAACATGGGGACTTGTTTGTGCAGACTTATTGTCATTTTGTTTGAATATTTTTCTTTCAGTGTTTCACTGGGCTACTGAATGTGGAATCGAAATCAGAAAATTTTCATCAAATGAAATCGATAATGTTTTTAACCAGTTAAATATAATAGATGCAAAGATTCAGTTGCAAACAATTGTCTCTATAGGAATTTTTGAAGCAAATCCAAACAGTGAGCTCTAGAAAAAGATATTATTTCATTTACAAGTTTATATGTGTGTTTAGAAAATATACAACGACACTGATTATTAACTGTCTTGTAAATGTCCATCTGAAGAAAATGTTGCATTTTCACGTAGATTTTGTTGAAACAGCATTTAAATTAAGGAATTCGTAGATTTACCGTTATTCTTACTTTAGAATTCATCTGACAGTCAGTTTGTTGGTTACAACCAAAGTAAAACCTGGTACAAATGTGGATCTACCAAAGTTGTCACATCACATCATCTTGCTTATTTGAAGTTAACGTGGGGAATAACAGAGAAGTTGTACTAAAAGTGTCATTAATGATATTAAGAAGACTAGGTATGGAGAATATAATTCAAAAAGGGGATGAAATAAGGAAATAAGTTTAAAGTATCAATCAAATGTATGACTTAAAAAGAATTACACGTCAAAGGTAATTGTATCATTGCAAACGATTGAGTCACGTCAATTACCTTCTTCAATCATTAAACATAATCATTTTACCGACAGTGATCAAATAATATTTATCTGTCACTACGGCTCAGTTTCGCAGTTAATTAATTAACGCTGATTTATTCACTGTTTCAGTCACTATCCAGTTAGAAAAAGCCTAAGAAAAATGAACGCTGAACTGGCTAGCTTTGCAAGTAAAGGTTTCGGTAATAGTATTATGATAAAAAACCATTTTCAGAAGTTTAATTACAGTAATGTTAAATAAGTTCCTAAATCAAACAGTGTTGGATGTCGAATGATTTCCGACAATTAGTATTTACGATGAAGAAATGAGATCAATTCATTGGACAACAAGCTATGATAAATATTTTTTTAATTTATTCAAAACTGAGAACATGATATTATTTGTTGTTTCAGAATTAAAATTAGTTTTCCAAATTTTAATTACACATAATGACTAAAAATAATGTATTTGCAGAACATACTCAAATATGTGCAAAGGCTTGGGCGATATTCGTTAAAGTCACTTTTCCACAATTCATTGCTGTTGTGATAGTAAACCACCTCTTATTAGAAATGTTATCTTAATCAATACAGACCAATCAATTTCTAATGAAACACCTTAATGAATGAATTAATTAAAAGTGACGATTTCTATATTTTCTCAGGTTTTATTTTACTTACACATTTTAACAGGTGAACAGATTGCTATTCTCCGTGGTTTCCTTTTGCGCAATAATCACGAAATTGTTTTAGCTACTTGCTTGTGTCTTAATATAATAGGTTATTCTAATCAAACATGTATTGAAAAACTAAATACTTTGATCACAATGGATCAAAGCTTATTATGTATGAAATCATTAAATAACAAAATATCATCTACATCTTTGAATCTATTGAAATGGGCATCATCAATTTGTTTATGTAAATTAGATCAATGTAATTTAAAAGCATTGGATATTTTAACTAATCTTCTATTTGATCAGTTAATTCAATTTATTCCCGAACAATATCCAAACAAAGCTTACTATACTCAAATGAAAGAGTTCAATGATTCATTGAATAAATCATTAAATTTAGAAGATAAATATATGAACTCATTTGTTTCGATTCTTTCAAATCTCATAAAATTTGATATAAACAAATCAAATATCTTTTTAAATAGAATTATCTACTATTCTGAAATTAAGATGATTTTACGTCTTAGTAAGAATCATGTGAGTTAGCTTGCATATATTTTTGTCTATAAAAAATCCTATGAAAATAATTAGTTCTTTATTGAATACTTTAGTTAAGTACTCTACTAGATAATATATATCAAGCACAAAACAGTTTAGATTTTGAATTTGGTGGAAAAGGATTTACACTTTTTTAATATTCTAGGAATTGGTTTCTTAAAATTGCTAATTGGTCAGTTACAACGTAAAATAAAGACTTCAAATAAGATAGCTTTTGTGGTCTAAAGGTTATCGAGATAATGCTGAATTTCGCTCACATTTTGGATGGACTGTTTCTATCTAATCAGGCTGAACAATATTTGACTCAAGATCAAGAAGTTATAAGTTTGATTATTAAACTATTTAATTATAGCTATTATATTTTGCCACTTGTCAATCCTCATGAGTCAGTCTGAATGACATAGCTTTCCATAAGTTTTATTCTAAATAAGTGTTTGTGTATGAAACCCTGAATCTATCAGTGACTTTCATTAATAATAACAGTGCCTATTATCAACGATGCAGTAGAAAAGGGAATTTAATCCACTTGCTGTTATGCTTGCTGTGTAGCATGAAATAAATACTGAGCAGAATTATTGACGTTTTTTTAGCAAAGAGTGGCATATACTCATTAAACAAGATAGTAGTCAACAAATTAGTTAACCGAAAAATGAATCGAAGTCGGTCACAATAGCCGAATTTCATTCTTCTTACGCATAATTCGGTCCTTCCTTTCCTTGAAATATATTTCTTAAGTTCAGCTTTCTCTGCATTTGATACTTTTCTTTACTCTAACGGGATAAGTATGAAGAACAGTTGAACTTTCTTGAATGTTACATCTGAAGTTACTGTTATTATGTTTATCGTATAATTATGAAGTATGTAAATTATTGCATTTTTGTATTCTCCTTCTTGTGAACATTTTCATGGTGCATAAAGTGTTTTTGTATATTGTACCTTTCCTAAGTTACTGTTGATCTATTATGGACCTATTACTCAGTTCTTTTTTGCTTTTGGTGTAGCGTGCCCATATTCTTATTGCCTAATTATGTTTATATGAGGTCAGGATTTTATCCTGGAGGATTTATAGGTTTTAATTTTATAGACAGAAGTTTTCTGCTTTATGTGTTGCGTTCCATTCCGGCTATCGGGCGAGTGAGCGTAGGAGAATTCCATTCTGAACCTGAAGTCGTTGAGTATAAATCTCGTCTATTTTCTCGCTATCAACATGTTACTAATTAGCAAAAGACCATTGATAAGAGATATATAGTTTAGAAGAATTAATCAATAGGACTACTTTCCAGTTCAAAGGTTTGTTCATACGGACCCAAAAAATAAATCAAGAAGTTCTTTTTTGTCTGTCACGTTACTCTCTTTGATTTTAATTATGATAACTATGTTTCCTGTTGTAATTAAATAAGTTGTATGAATTGAATATATATTAACCATAACCGATTATTATCATTGCTATCATAAAACTAAGATTTCAATAAATCCTAATTATATGATGAGATACTTTTATGTTGATGCAAACTGAAAATCGTAAAAATTGTCCATAATACAATGAAAACTTATATTCTATGCGACTTTTATTGTTAGAAGTTGTACTTTTTCTACTGAAATAATCTTTATTTTAAATATAGACAGGTACATTTTAATTCTTGTTCTTTGTTTTTTTACTTCTTTCCAAACAAGTCACAAATCGAACATTACTTGACTGATTTTTTGGATTCACCAAATTGGAGAATAAGATTATGTTCATGTTGGCTTCTATCCATTTTATTGTGTGATTTAAGTAAAGTACGTAGTATGAACGAATTTTTACGCTATAATTATACTTATTATACAGATTTTTAGAAATAAGTTAAAAGAAATATAAGATTGAATTTCAAATATGAGTTAGCTTATGTGAATATATATAATTTCTATTGAATTAATATTCATAGATTAATAAAATTCAAGTCAATATTAAAAGAAATTGATACTTACAACATAGTAACTAGAACTAGAAAATAAACAAATTCAGAAAATAATGGAAATACTTTTAGTTGAAGATTTAAATGATAATAAAATATGAATGTATCGACATCAGTGTGATAGATCTTTAATTGTATATTTTCAAAGATCAGAAGGGATTTGTGGAGATTTTAGAAATTTCACTGATTGAAATCATGAGTTAATTGAAGCTAGACCATCATTAAAAACCTGGAAGCACTGGACGGCCGTTTCGTCCTATTGTGGGACTTCTCAGCAGTGCTCATCCACGATCCCGCATTCCGCGAGATTCGAACCCAGGACTTATCAATCATTGATGATAATTATTGTTTAAGACCATAGTAATGAAAATATACATATTTAGATATTGTTCATATCATTTCATTTAGTTGTTTCATGAACTTATATAGATTTTAGAGATTTGGCTTCTTTAGTTGTTTATACAAACCATATTGCTAACCATGACAGTGTATTTAGATAGTCTATGTATAGATATTATATACACATGTTTCATGAGCCATTCTTTGGTCTACAGTTTAGAAATTAAGTTATTCTGATCGTTCAGTTCAGTGGAAGTATGATGTTTTAGAGTTATGTGAATACTTCAGTTAATCACTTTGACAAAAAAAACGTGACTTTATAAGACAATGATGCTCAGATGTTTGTTATATGACATATTTGGCACAGTTTTGTAGTGTATTTCATCAATACAATGTGGAAATATAATAAAGTATTATGTGGTGAAAATTTGTATCTGATATCTTTGCGAATTCATGATATATATATATATATATATATATATATATATATATATATATATAGCATCCAATTATCAAGCTATAACCGCTTCATTAACGCTGGGGGCATATTGACCTCTTAATGTGTTTTTCATGACAGTAGTTATGACAACCATAGTAGAGTGAGCGATTTTTCAATACTTTCAATGTCCGAAATGAAGTAGTAAAAGCTTGTTTCCATCACGAAATATGATTTACATACTCTAGTTAAAAAATTATAGCGTTTCTTATGTTATTATTTTATATTAATCATATGTATTTGTTTAGTATTCGATCTTTTTTGAATGGCTTTTTATAGGATACACTTACAAGAGTAAATCGTCTTATGCTATTAGATTGGAATACTATGTTACGGATAGCTTCACTTCATTGTCTGGAGATAAATTTAAAAGGGATAGATGTATCTTTATTATGGTCAAATTGTTTATTCAATGACCCATTTTTGTCAAATGATAACAATAGTACTATAATAAATAAAATAATTCATGACTTATCTATAACCCCTAAATCAATCCCTTATCGTCGTGCTCAGAGAATATACCAATTAGCTATGAATGGTAATGTTTTACCGCTTCTAAATACTTCATTTTTTTTATTTCACTACATGTTTTTAAAATTTTTCTACGTCCATTTTATTAAGTTACACACTTCTACAATATCAAATAATTATGTTTCAATTATGTATGAATTAATTTTATAATTTTAATAGTTGAATTCATGAGTCGATGTAAGCAAGCCCACCACTAAAACCCAGGAAGCTCTGGACGGCGATTTCATCCCAGTGTGAAACTCCTTGGCAGTGCGCATCCACGACCTCGCACGCGGGATTTGAACCTAGAAACTTCGGTATCGCGAGCGAACGCTTAACTTCTAGACCGTTGAGCCGGCATCCAACGGTGTTAATGTCTAACTAATCGATCCATGATCTTGTGCAATTATCCATCCATTGTCTGAGGGAGGTACCTGTCTCGAGCCCCACATTTGGGATCGTGGATAAGTAGTGCAAAGGAGTCCCATACTAAGACCAAACAGTCGTCCAATGCTTCCAGTTTTTTAATGATGGTTTAGCTTGCATCGACTCACTAATTCAACTATTAAAATCACTACAATTTTTCACAAACCCCCATTCTAATTTTATAATTTGCGGAAAAATACAAGGTTCACATTAGATTATAATACAAGGAATTTAAAATCAGTGATTTTATTGAAATGTTTGGTATCCAGGTCTGTGTCAATGTGAACCAGATGTAAATGAATGCTTTTTGGATAAAGAGGTACTTTGATACGGTAACGTTGGTTCTTCTTCACAGTCGACTTCGATACTTATTTTTTTACCTCTTCAACCAGTTCATATTATATAGAGCACAAACCTTCTGTTTTACGGTTCAAAGTCCGTACATTTTCCTACTTACGTCGATTTGACGAACCTATATCATAAGGTCTACCAATAAAAATTATGGTTGGCAGCAGAGTACATAGGAATGTGCTTGTTTCTCAACTCATAAGCACTGACTATCAACAGTATGGAGTTGTGGAGATTGTTGAGTTTCTTTGTAATCACGAGCCAATCACAGTTAAACAACCACTGAAAACCCGGAAAAACTGGACAGATGTTTCTTTCCAGTATAGGACTCTTCAGTTTTGCGCATCGGCGAACTTGCAAACAGGATTTGCAGTATATAGCTACTTAATATTCTTTTTTTATTTCAAGCAGATAAGTGCCTAGTTTTATCTTCTAAATCCTGATCATATATTTGTGATTTTCGTTTACAAATCGCTAAGCTTAATTCTAATATAAATCATTTTATATTTTAAAAAATACTGATTTCACGCAAAATATTCAGATTTAGGATAAAGGCATAAATTGAAATTGATTAATTGAAGTTTCAGTACAATTTTATTTTACTTTTGGTTATCATTGTTATTTTTAATTTTCAGGTCTTTCACACGATGATTTAATCAAACAGCTTCATTTGGCTTTAATGGATGAATGTAGTTGTGTACGTAAAATGGCATGTGTTATCATTGAGCAACAGGACGTAGCTACAGAAACAGTCATTTTTAATGAATTGCTTAACATTTTAAAGAATGATATGAATGATAACGTTAAAATAATGGCTATAAGAGGTGGGCTATAATAGATTATTTACACTATTTTCTCGAAGCTTCCGTAATAGTAATAGTAAATTTTTGAAACATGAAAATCATTTACAAAATTCGCACTCACGATGATGTTTGATCAAAAAATATAATCCTTCGTAGAATTCAATACAGTTTGCAAAAGAAATACGCTCATACCACTAAGAAGCTTAGTTCAAACATAATTAGTTAAATTTAGTTTGATGGTATTTAGATGAAGGATTTTGCCTGGATATACTAGCAATCCTATATATTAAGTTTTAAGAGGAGTTATATTGGTAGAGCAGACAATATATAGTGCTTCTGAAAAAGCTTTTATCAATTTTCTTCTCTAGAAACGGAACGTCTTGTTTTCTTCTCCCGTTTGGCTACAACATTTTTCCAACAGTTTTTTAGTTTATCCTACTATATCATTTTAAATCACTACATATTTCATTCTTAAGTGTCTTCGATTTGTGTTCATTGAGTTAATGACTCAAAAGCTGATTTCAAATCCTTCCTTCCTTCATTTCTAATCAAGTCGATGTCCCAAACCATCCTTTGAGTTTGATCTTTAATTTTTACATCTTAATATTATGAACTTCATTTTAAACTAACACTATACAACATTAGACTGATAAGTGTACAAATAACTTTTGATCGATTTCATTTCTATAAAGTATGATAAATCTCATTTGAAATTTCGAGATGAGATTTTCTCAGCTTCGAACCGTTTGATTAAAACTTGCTGAAATGTCATTTTGTTCAAATTTATGTTCTTGTTCTTTTCACCTATGGCATTTGTTCGGTCCTCTTTCGAGAAACTTTGATTACTCCAGATTAAGTATTCTGTATAATTTGTTATTTATACAATTCAAAAAGCTAATTGCATCGTTGATAATGAATTAATGACTATTCGATAAGGGAAATTTCGTCTATCATCAAAAAAACATTTCTTCTTTAGGTTATTAACTATTGAAAGTTTTTCCAGGTTGGTGTCACTCCATAAAAGGATGTTTAAGGGGTTTAGAAAATTTCAGAATGAATAAGAACCTGGGTAAGTGAAAAGGCTACCTAATGTATGGAGAGCATGAATACTCAGTTACAATATCTCGGTTTACCAGTTTTAAGAATAGTTTCTTTATTTGTGGAGCCAACAATGTTTTTTGTCAAAATCTCTAGAAGACCACAAGGGATCAAGAAATATTTGATCTAAACAGCATTGAATATCAGCTTTTCAGAGACATCAAGAGAATGAAGGATGATGTGTCGCGTTTTTGATTAGATAACTACCCATACCGTTATAATATTTAGAATGCTTCTGGAAAGTTCTCGAGTTCAAAGTCATACAGGAATCTATTAATACGCTTGATTTTCTGTAACTTTAAAATAAACCTGTCACTCGTATTTTGCGTCTTTTCTTTATTGTTCAAATTAATATGTAGGAGTAGTCTGAGGTTATAAACAGGTGTAAAAAGGGCAGTATCAAGCGTTCAAGTAGCAGACTTATTACTTAAGTAAGGAATCGTTGTGCCCATTTTAGATATTGATATGTTTCTTTTTTGTACAGCAGTTACGGAGGTAAAGTTTTAGCTTTTGTTGCTGGTCATGAAGATGATTTTTCTCTCACGTGTAGTAAAAACTAGTTTTATTTAGTTAAATGAATAGATTTTGTTGAGAACAGACATAATATTACTTTTAGTATCGCATTACTTTAGGATTGTAACCTCTATTGATGTAGACGATTTCGACACTAGGCAGATTCTAAGCTATCATAATCTTGTTATATGTATTTGAAAAATTATTTGCCAAACTACTGTATGCTAATTCTGTTGACAGATATAAGTAGTATGTAGCACCAATCGGTAGTATAATACTTGCAGGAAGATTGAATTGAAGAGAACAGGAAAGGAAATAGATAGCATTTGGAATAACAATGTGATGAGTAGAATCGTGAAGCGCGCACAAGACAACTGAAGGGAGATGTGAAAAGAGTATATTTAATGTATGGTCATCACATTTTTACCAAAGCACTCTCTAATTTCGTATTGATTTTCCTTTCTTAACTTCTTCATTTACTACAGTATTATTGTTATAACTTATGGCCTATTAATATATAACGTAATGATACTGCCAATTAGAGAACAGTGAATTATCGACCAGACCAATGACGCAAAAACCCGTACGAGCAGTCTAGAGTCTTTATTAATCCTGCCTCCTGCCTGTTAAGTCCAGAACATCAATCTCAGCCTCCGCAATATGAATCACATACCAACCAAATGGACCACACCATACCATAAAATTGAAAATAACATTTGTACAAGATTTAGCGAAATGTGGGAGATAGTAGTTGATAGACAGGGCATAACTCAAGAATGGTAAATGGTATAATAATAATTCATAGGTCAAAATAAAGCTTATGATAAGAAAAACACGAATATGGATAGTTTATTTACTTATCAATTATACGATAAAAATATACGTGATAGTATTAGTCCACAAAAGGATGCCAACAGTTACCATTCATTATTCTCATCAGGATATAATAATTATTAAATTATCTGAATCATTAATTATATATTTTAATATTCTTATTCAGCTTTAAAAACAATATCTGGTTCTAATAAAGATAATAAAAAATCAGAACAAGTTCAAAATGTTTTATATCATATTATTCAATCTGAATTCAATCCATCTATCCGACAGAAAATATTTCATCTTTTATTATGGTTTATTCAAACACGTTTTATAATCTATGATACAAGTGAACATTTAATGAATAATGAAATTGATATTTTAGCTAAAACATTAATTCTCAATGAATATAATTCATTAAATGCAAAAATAATAGATTTTAATGAATTATTTAATATACAAAATGATATGATAGAATCTATTTTAAATTATGAAAATGACTGTGTTGCTATGGAAACAAATTATTCTAATTTAATACGTAAAATATTTATACCAAACTATAATATGTTTATTAATGATAAAGGGAATCAAATGAAATTAAAAAATTGCTTTCAATGTCATCTTTATTATTTATATAATTTTTTAAGAAAATCTTTAAAATATGAAAACTGTGAAGAGATTCAATGGTAAACTACTTTGTAAATTTTATAATTATTCATTTAATGTTTATAATGTATTTTGTAGATAAGATTCATATATTTTAGGTTGTGAATACATATATTTTATATATAAAGCGAATGGAATAGAGAGAAGAGAAGGGATGCAGAGTGGAGATGGCAGGTAAGCCATCTCCCATTTAACCAAGAGTTGACCAATATTCATAGTTACACAAAAGTAAGTTACAGACGTGATGAGTAATGGGATAAGAAATGTACACACACCTACGCGCTCATATAAAAACAGTCAAGATTGATAAGCGAATAAATGACAAGGTCAGAATATGACTCAAGTAGAATGAATAGAATAGGCTGTCCGAAACCTAGAATGAGGTATATCGGCTTAACATAATAACGGACAGTACACACTACCAAGTGAATTTAAATTTCACCTTATTGCACAAGCAAGTGGTTATCAAAACTCAGTAACTGAGTAGATAACGTTATGGTGTTTGAAGTGAGAGGTACTGGGTTCGAATCCCGGGGTGAACATGAACTCTGAGATGCAGGTATACACCTAGTTGACGAGTTCCAAATAAGATGAAATGCGCGTCTTGGATGCCAATGCTAGCCACTATCCATCTTTACTTATTTCATGTTGTATGTAGTACGATTAGTGACGGATTTTGTATTATAATAGAGTTTTATTATATTAGAATCCTTGGGTAAATAAATGAAGGATCAAATGGTTGTAAGTACCTTAGGTTTCTAGTATTGATTGATTGGATTTTACTATTAATGTAGCATATCGGAGATGCAAACATCAATTCAGTATTTATGGTAGAAATTTTTGTTAGTTACACATAGGCCATCTTTTGTCTTATCATGTCTTGAATTCTAGATTTAAATAGCAGATATGCTTATAGATAGATGTGAATACTTAGATGTAACCTTTGTTACTTTTAAGATGATAAGAAGTATGTCCTCCAACTTTGTAATTATAATATGTTAATGAGAACTGTCTGCTAAATCTAAACTAGTGTTTTGCAACTATTACATCTAAATCAAGTGAGATACTTCTTTGACTGAGTCAGTATCGTATTTTAAGTAAATAACCTACTCCAGCAGTTATGAATCTTGAAGTGGTTTGTAGTGTCTCTCATAAACTATAATTTATTTAAATTCACCTGGTATTGTTTGCTTGTATCTTCTGATTATTTTTAGGACTGCGATTGGTAAGTCTCTTGTTGGCATATGTGCATCTTGTGCGGATTGCCTCAATATTACATTAAGTCATAAGCTTTATAAGCAAAGATGGATAGTGGCTAGCAGTGGAATCCAGGACGCGCATTTCTTCCTATTTTGGACCTATTTGCCTCCTAGAATAATAGTCTTAGAATGTCCTGGTTTGGCCGAGGATGAAGAGAGTCAGCTCTCACTTTCGAGACGCTCTCATATGGCCACGCATATACAGACGCTACCAGAGAAGTCCTACTCACTGCCTTCTCACGGCATTGCTGTTGTTTACAAAATTGAAAGGACGAAAAGTAAATATTCGGCATTTCAACCAGGTTGGTGGATATAGAGGACCCATTCAGAGGAGTTGAAAAACCCTCATTCCAAACCAATGGTGCACATGGGCTCCAGGATTTTGAGGGGACAAATGGCGTTAACCAATTATTGATCACCGGCTACCATGGGAGTGCATCTCCTTACATTGCTCCACTTCCTTGTGGATCAGACCTTTAGGTCGAATGCTAGGTACACGGGCAATATCACAGCCCACACACAAATTAAGTGAGTTGTTTGGCGCATATCTATTCGGTACTTCTTTGTACCAATATTTATGTGTTCAAATAAATATAATAAATAAATAAAAAGAATAATATTACACCTATTATTATTTCCCGTTGTTTCTTTAACTGTAAATATGAAGCATATACTTGTTCACAACTTGAGATGGTGGAGAAGATTTGTAGCTCAGGTGGATGATTTTGATGGGTTTTTGTTCTCTGAGCTGGATGGTTCGGTCGTGGAGCTTTCTTCGTTCTTCTAAACGACATCATCAGCACAAACTTCAATCCTATGCAAACCAAAGGATAAAATAGCAAAGGAAGACAAATCAAACATCATCTACAAAATAAATTGCGCCAACTGCGAAAAACACTACATCGGACAAGGCGGACGCCCCCTTCATCCTCGCGTACATGAACATCAATTAGCAGTCAAACGCCATGATGCCTCCTCAATTATATCGATACACGTGGACAATTGCTGAAACTCGTTCGAGACGGTGGAGAAGATTTGTAGCTCAGGTGGATGATTTTGATGGAGTTTTGTTCTGTGAGCTGGATAGTTTGGTCGTGGAGCTTTCATCGTTCTTCTGAATGACATCATAAGCACAAACTTCAGTTAGAAGTGAAGTGTTCGAATTTCTCCATATGTGTTTCACAGCTTGTTCTGTGCACCTCGATGGTGATTGGTTCTTATTGACCTTAAGTTTGTCATTGTTTACTTCTTTGTTTTGGTTTTGTCTCCCATTGGTTTGATTTTTGTTCCTATATTTGTGCATGATTTTTCTGATTGGTTGGTAAATTGGATTGATTTCAATATGCTTGTTGATTGCTGATTGACCTGAGTGCCAGGCTTCTAAAAATCCTCTACTGTTTTTGGAATTTCCTCTGTCCAAGATTTCCACATTTTTCCAATCGAATGAGTGTCCGCAGTTGTCCATGTGTGTTGATATAAGTGAGGAGATATCATGGCGTTTGACTGCTAATTGATGTGAAACACATATGGAGAAATTCGAACACTTCACTTCTAACTGAAGTTTGTGTTTATGATGTCATTCAGAAGAACGATGAAAGCTCCACGACCAAGCCATCCAGCTCAGAGAACAAAACTCCATCAAATTGTCCACAACTTATTAATGAAAAAGTATAACTGTTTTATGATCATAATTTACATAATAAACCACATTGTTGACCCTTATATGATCTACGTTAATAGAAAAAAAGTTATTTAGATATCTATGAAACATAATTTCTTGTTTATTTTTATTTTTCCTTTAAATTGAATTTTTTTAGTGAATTATCTACTATGGTAAAACCATTATTTGATCAAATATTAAATGAAGCAAATAGAAATGCAACAGAAAATTATTATTATTCATATCATGATGATACAGATTTATTAAAATCATTAATGAATGAAAAATGTAATGATATAGTGAAAATTTGTTATGATATTATACGATATTCTTAAATATAATGATCAAAGTATGCTGTTTTAAATTCCCCACCTTTTTTTTCTTTATTATTTTGTATTTGTTACTTATCAATGATGAATGTCAATCGTTGAGATCATTAGTTTCAATTGACTCATGATCTCAATGATTGAAATAATTATTGTATCCACAAAAACCTCTTTTGATACTAAACATTAGTATATGCTCACTAGTGACTGACTTCAACAGGTATTTTCTGAAGTTCTAATGAGAAATGACCAATGGAGTTCAATTGGGTCTGTTGTGAGATAGTAACTCATTGAACACAATGGTGTATGTGTCGCTAAATTCTGTGGATTAGTTGAAGTTAAACATTAACATCGTTGAATGCCGGCCGGCTCAGTGGTCTAGAGGTTAAGTGTTCGCGTGCTAGACTGATAGGTCCTGGGTCCGAGTCTCGGGATGCGCATTGCTGATGAGTCCCACAATAGGACGAATTGACCGTCCAGTGCTTCCAGATTTTTCATAGTGGTCTAGCTTCCATTGACTCATAACCCCAACTATTGAAATTACTATAATATCCACAAAACCCCTTCTGATAATAACAAAACTATTGTTCAAATACAGGTATTTATTTTTATTTTTCAAAGAATAATTACTATTACTGGACATATGAACAGTTCAAAAACGTGACACTTTAATGGTCCTAAATCTGACTTCAATTTGATGATCGTGTGCTGCTTGTTACCAAAATATACATATTGTCAATCCTCTTATTTAAACATTGACTTAACTCTCATTAGTGTACAATAGAATTAAGTATGTCACAGATGGTAATGAATTTCGAATATGTGTATTTTATACGATTATTGGATCCGATAGTGAAGGAAAACGAAATGATGCTCAATGGAGGAAGAGAGTGAACTAACTCAGTTTAATCAAGCGTTAATCGATATTTGTAGCCAAACAAAAATAAGTTACAGACATGTGATGAATGGGATAAGATGTGTACATACATAAGTTTATATAAAAACAGTCAAGGTTAATAAGTGAATAATTACCAAGGTCAAAATATGACTCAAGAAGGATGGCTTGTTCGGAAGCTAGAATATGCTATGTGGGTTTAACATAGCAACCGACAATACAATACCTTCAAAAAAACCCTAGAGTTAGGAAATTCATTTGTAAATGATTTGATATTTTCTAGGTGAATGTAACTCTATTATTGGTAGTACGTTAACTTTGTAAGTTTATCAATAGTTTGTTTCATTAAGCTGTATTATAATGTGGTTTAAAGAATATTCTACTCTGAAGTGAGTAAAACTCGATTAGTCTAAATTGATACTGGTCAACAGAAGTTTAAATAATTGTCTTGCTTTGGGAACTCAGTGTTATTCAAGTGTTATCAGTGTCAAATTTGAATTGAAGATAAACTTGTAGTGGGGAAAATCGAATTATATTAAACACCACATTACAGAGTTACTTGGTAAACTAGAAAAACCATATAGTAAATCGTTGACTTGCAAAATATTAATCCATCATATCAAACCGGACTGTTCCTGTTGCAATCAATCCATTGTCTCACATTTCATTGTTCATGCGTTTTCTAACAAATTGCATTGTGTTCCCCTTCTTTCTTTCTTGATCTTCCCCACCATCTTCTGCTGCCAGACATTAGGTTTTTAACTCGCGTCATATACTACTTATATCAATATAAGTAGCATGCACCACAAACTTACTATATGGCTTACAATAAAATGGACATGGTTTATTCAAATTTCGTAGTATCCATATGCAAATTCAACATGCAAACATAAAGAATTTTTTCGGTATTTCAAATACAGACGTTTAAAACTATTATCTGTACTAAGCGCTAGAAGATTGTTTGTTAATAATACAACCTTCTCAAACAAAATCACCATATCTATCATGTAGACAGTAATCTCACATAGTTCAAACCCCCTATCCTTCTCTAACTGCTTGATCACTACGCCAACTCCTTTTGACATTTTAAATCTCGAATTACCTCATGATGCTATTTCTTCCACCATGCTGTGGACTTATATAATTATCAAACTATAGCAACTCTCCTATAATTAGTTTTGTTTACGGTTAATTTTGTCGAACCCTTAAATTAACTTACTTAACAGAAAATGTTATTCGAACAGTAACAATTCATCTATTTCTTTGCATTATTATGATCACTATCTCGTCTGTATAAATGTGTATGTTTGATTACATGTGACAGCCTACGCACATATCTCTGGCTTGAATGTTTGTCCTCTAAATATCATTCTCTTCCCTATATATGTATGTGCTTGAATCCCATTAATTGCCCTTGTCTAACTTCACTTCGCCTCGACTAGATTCAACTCTGAATCCGCCTCTGCATTCACTTGCTCGCGCGCATTAGCCTATCTGCTCAAATTCACTCGAGATGCTTGTAACTTTGATATCTGTGCTATCCAGAGTTAATGTAAACTCTGTGACTCAAACCCAGCACGGTTTGATTTAAACACCATCGCGTTACTGACTTAACCAATGAATCCAAATAGCTACTAGCTTGTGTAATGTGGTGAATTTTAATCAGTTTGTGTTGGTTATTTGAACCTTATCGTTGGTGTTTGGAACTGCAATTTTTCAGTATCTTTTAGCACACATGCATACCGTACGGACTGTCCTGATATTTTTATGAGATTACAAACTTTATTAATCCAGCTGTTGATTTCCAAATAGGAGAGAACACATGTCTTGGATCCCACAAGTCACCATCTAACTCTACTTATAGTGCATATAACTGGATAGAAATTTCGTGCTAATTTTCAGAGAACACACAAGCTCCCAAAGAAACTATTTGGTTAGGTCCTAGACATCAGCGAAAAGATTCAACTAATCAATACGAAAAGCTTTCTGACTTGATTCATGAAATAATAATACAGGCTTTCTTTTCCTATAATTACGTTTATGTTTTAACGGTTTGTTGATAAATCATCGTTGTCTCTTTGCAGAATTTCTGTCATCTTGCTTGAGCGTGCTTCACCAATGCGTTTATCCACGTCATCGACTTAATAGGAAACAACGTCCACAGTGATCGTGGTCTAAATTTAGATACGAAGCGTTCGAAATCGTTGTTGAGTGGGAAGTTTAAAAATTTGCTTCTAATCGAAAACAATCGATTTTTCACAATATATTTGCTTGTTTCATTTTTAACGCAAACTAATTCCAGTCTGGGCTAGCTTACATTCTTAAACAATCCTTCCTTCAACTTTCTAATAATCGTCTGTAACTCATATCTTGGTGCTTGATATCGTTGTAAATTTTGTTCGTTTAATTTAGCTACTAAATTTATATTTAGTAGCTTGCTAAATTTAATTATATTTTCATTTGCTTTATGTGAATGGTTTTTGTACTAGAAAATTCAAATTAATCTTATTCATAACCTAGCTAGATGCCGTTTTTCAAGGGGACATAATCAAAGGAAAGAAGAAGAAGGATATGCATCCATAATGTCACTGAAAAAAATAGACCGCTTTCACACCATTTATTATTATTACGATATTAAAATTCTTTAAAATGGTCATGAGTGGGAAAAAAAGAACGAAGATAATCCGCAAATATTTTTTTAAGAAGAACGTTGATAAAAGCTTCAAAGTACTAGAAACTAAACTAACTGAGGCAATTATTTGCTTTTATCATAGAAATACCGACTGCAGTTATACTAAAGTAATTTTTTTAAATGTTGCTGCTTATATGAATAACTGAAATAAGATTGAAACGGTTCATGTGTTATATCATGACACAATGAGACCGATAAATGTATGTGTATATGAGATTTTTCAACAAAAATTTCTATTTTTTTATAATCCAGATTAAAATTATACAAGTTTAGTGTTTTTGTTTTAACTAACTCATTATTGAGTTAATTATGATTTTGCTAAGATGAATTAGTTAACTATGAAGTATGCTTAGTGTTCATTGTTACTTTTGGATATTAAAGTGTATCAGTAAAACGCAGGTTTTACAAAATGCCGTATTCTTCATACAGGTGAAATGTCATCTAACTTAACAGTAGTGTATGTGACAGAACAACTAAACCAATTATGATTAGCGTGGAAATAGATAGCATTAAAACATCAAGACTGAGCAATCACCACAAGTCACGAGTACTTTATTCTAATAAGTTCTAGGAATTCATTTAAAGCAGTCGAAATGATAAGTTTAATTATTTACTTAATTCAAAGTCTGAACGATTTTCTGAGATGAATTTTCATTGACAGCAATTAAATGGAAACACTGAATTGCATTTATGTGAAAAAACATCTCAAGAATAAACCGACGCTTATTTTAAATCATGTATCGAAATCAGTTGAAAAACCGCCAATAACAATCAAGCCTTGATTGTGAAGCCTCCATTGTCTTCTTAGACAAAATCATCTGATTATATTTCAAAAAGACACTATAAGTCATTTAGAACTGACTGACGGCTTGTCCTGTTAACATAGGATTCTCGAATGTATTGTTCATCAAGCCTAATACGGGAGAAATTGGAACTCAAGTGTGTCGGAAAGTAGCCTATAGTGATGGAATACTCATGTACAATAGCAACAATTTAATGGCGCAAAAATCAAAGTATATGTAAATCCTGTTCAAATGAGTGAAGATAAGTTACAGCATTGTCAGTATACGGAGACGTGAAAAGGAATAACAAATGAGTGTGTTTCTGAAAGATAGCTGACCGCAAAACAGCATCAATAAGTGTTTATTAAAGCGATCACCAAGTGCAACATTAACAGAAGTAATTATCAAACAGATAATAATATTATTATTAATTATTATCAATGGCTTTATTCAGTATTATATTTTGGTACAATATAGAATTCTCAGCACAAGGTATTTCAACAAATTTATTTTACAAAAAACAAGACAAAAAAAGAAAGAAGGCAGTAGAAACGTTAAACCTTTTTGTTTAAGCACAGTGTACTGTTCTTTTCCAGAGAGGTAGGAACATAGCCAATTGGTTATCCAGCTGTTAGTGTTG